GTCGTCTATGACAATTAAAATGAAATATATGGTAGGAATACTCTGCTTTTACGCATCATTCAATCGGTAAACGAATGAAAAATGTGTTTGAAAATGCCAGATATTATGATTTTATGGAATCCTGGAAGCTGAACGAAGCAAAACACAGCGCTTATTTGGGCTTACAATAAAACGAGAAAGGATGCACATCCTGTTATTAGAGTTTAGTGGCTGGTCGAGTCGAAATTGACTGCGATCACCACTACCGATCAATTTAATGCCCATTACAGAGAAAAAGAGTTATTCCATATAAAAGAATATATTTTCTGGCGATTTCATGATATCAAAAGAAGACTGAAAGCGTTCCAGAAAAGAGGAGCGAAATTACAGAGTCAGTGGAGCCAAAACGGCAGCAACGCAAAAGGAAAGTTTGCGTGTACAGAGTGTGATAGACAAAAAGTACGGTAAAACAATCACTGGTTAAATTATTAAACCTATCACTTTCTCTTTGTAGAAGCGGATTCACTATAAGAGTATGGATCTCAATAATGACAATGATTTATTCCCAATTAAGAACGTATTACAAGAGGCATGACAATTTAAAGGCAAGATAAAATGTTAAAATCGCTAACATATTTGCTAGAAAAGGTTAATAATAATAATAATAATTTATTCTCAAATGACAAACATGTTACAAGAGACATGCCAATTTACAGGCAAGATCAAAATGTTCAGATTAGCAACATATTTTTTTTTTAAAACGGTATAAAGTTATTCAAACATTTCACAAGATTCATTGTTTTCTTAAAGATGGAATGTACAAGGCGAGTAATTGGCGCAAGTTACGAAGGTTGCGTTACGACAATCATCATATGGGCTGAGAAATGATTCATGGTACAGACAGGTTTTCATATAACAAGAATTGATGCGGTAAATGTACAAAGGTCTGGTTGATATTCGTCAGCTAATGATTTCACATGTTCTTGGGTAGGGTAACCAATTCTACTGCAAATATCCAGACTAATATATGAGGATTGGAATAAGGTTCTGAAAAAAGGAATAAAGAAAACGGGACGAGGAGCAGAACAGAAAATATTCATGTTCAAAGCCGAACAACGGCTTCGTACATACGTTTATGGATAAAAAAAGGTATGTTGACCCAAACATTTTTAATATCAGAACACTTTACACCTGAGCTTATGTAGGTTAATGAAGACACTTCAGTAGTGATATAACTAATGAGAAGTTAGTCGAAAGAATCGAGGAAATTCAGAAGAACCAAGTTGTTAGTAATAAAGTTGATTTACAAAATATAATAAAGAGGATCAGTGATATAATTTTTTGGTTTTATTTATTCTTTTTATTTTTAACTCTGAGGCTCAAGAAGTTATAAATGAGCTCTTTTTTAGTATAGTTGTCCAGACCAGCTTGTAATAGGATTTCTCGGTAGGAAGTAAAAACCAGTGCAAGGTTACAGACATGGGTTGTAGACGAGGTTAACTAGGAAAAGTAACATCAATATCACTGATTTGTTACATCCTGCTATATCGTAAGGAGCCGTAAGCAAACAAAATGTTCTGCCACACAGACATGGGTAGATTGAGGTTATCGCCCTACCGTCATGAATGCTGGTCAGATGCACCACCCTCCCTCCTTTTGTGATGTTAGGCTCTCTTACGTTTAATGGTTAATTGTAAATAATGGTCTCTAGTCTACTCTCAATTTTTTTTTTGTACACCTTATCGGAATTAACATTCTCTACTAGCTCCAACATTACAAGCAATCCAGACAACTTTGCCAGATAATATATCCACATAGCATATCACACTGATTTTAAGTAAACGAATGTTATGATTTGTAAGATGAGTCAGTTAATGGGTAGTTTGGAAATAGGAAGGACAGGGAGCTGGAACGAGGAGAAAGTGAAAAAAAAGAGTTGAAATAATGTTAAAAATTAATGAGTAAAGCGATAAGTTGGTAAGCAGGCAAGGTGTTTGCATGTTAATGAATTGGGGAAATAAAAATTAGTTAAACTGTTAGTACTTAAATAAGAAGATACTCACAATAATACACGGTGTTTGAGTTCCTTGTACTTGACAGTAGTTGAACAGGATCTACAGGCTTTTCAATTTGTCTGTCTACTAGAAATAAAAACTAAAACTGCTTTGAAGATATGAAAATAATAATCGGAATTTAAATTCAGAGAAAAGTCACGGGTAACACTTCAAAGGCGTAACCTATTACTGTTAGTAGGAGCAGGGGGATTCGTCTATCATTTCATGATACATGTATGGGTGGTAATGAGAACACAATGTGTTCATAGTCTATAATTCGTTTCCCAGGTTCATCTAAATATTTGGTGGACCATAAAAGAGTGCCTGGGGACTTTGTGTGAGTTCCGGGAATAGTCGGTATATCTCTTTAGAGTCTAGCAACAGCATGACTAGTTTCTTGAACTTAGTGATTGTGTCACAAATACGGATAGTAATTGGTAACCTGTTCCACAGTAGACTGTATCGTGTTGCAAGAAATTACAACGCAATAATTTCTTGTGTTTTGCCGTTAATAGTGTATATGCGTTGTTTCTAAGTCTGTAAGCAGTGTCGTGGTTCATAGTTGGGCGGTATTTTACGAACGAAAGACCATTTATTAGTTTATAGAGGAGCATTAGGTTGTTTTTGAGACGACGGCGCCATAGAGTTTCTAGGGAAAGATGCTTGCATCTTTCTGTGTAGTTGAGGTTATGGCTCAATCCGAGCAGTCGCCGGGTGAAGCTTCTTTGTACATTTTCTACTCGCATTTTGTCCATGATATTCATGTTTGAAAATATGAGTGAACAATATTCAAGTGTGGGCCTTTTACAGATTTTGAAGAGAGTAAGCTTAGCCTCACTTGTGAAGAAGTTCTTGTTTATAAACCAAATTAGTCGTCTAGATTTAGAGATAATATTTGAGGCATGTTTTTCGAATTTTAGGCTTTTAGAGTAACTAATACCAAGGTCACGCGCTGATATTAGTGTCTGAACTCTACATTTTTGTATGTAGAGTGATGTATCAAGGTGACGCTTGCTAAAATGCATTATGCCACATTTGTTGTGGTTAAACGGCAGTTGCCATGTCTCGCTCCACGTAGTTAAGTTATCAAGATCACTCTGAATCTTAGCCATATTTTCGTCCAGATCTTCAGGCTTATAGCTGTATACTATTTTCAGATCATCAGCATATAAGTATGCTCTTCCAAATTTAATAGTATTACATATGTCATTTATGTACATTAGAAACAAGACTGGACCTAAGACACTTCCCTGGATAACCCCACTGGTTATTGGTCTTGGTGATGAAAGATAGTCGTTGTACTTTATCATTTGTTGTCGCCCATTTAGAAATGAAGCTAACCATGAGTGTAGTGGGTTGATGATTCCAAATGACTTCAGTTTAAGTAGAAGCCTTTTGTGTGGAACTTTATCAAAAGCCTTCTTAAAATCGAAGAAAAGGACTGATACCAGAAGCCCTTTGTCTTGTTCATTCGTGATATCGTTGAAATAATCTAAAAGACATGTATCACACGACCTGGACCTCAAGAACCCATGCTGTGAGGTCGATATCAGCTTGTTACTAACTAGATGTTGTAGTAACTCTGTTGTTCAGCTAGGTAAAGGTTTCACAAGATAAACTGGCTCTTTTTAGAAGGGTAATGTTTTTCATATAAAGTTGTAAATATTTCAAACTCTGGCTCCTAAGATGAATAGAGGGGATGTGAGGTATATCCTGACCGAAAACTATGGCTATGAATAGGCTATTTGAGAATTCCCACCCTCTGGAGTTTATCAGATGTTTCTTTAAGAGAAACAAGATCAAGGAATTATGTTGGTTTTCTTCTGGAAATCCTCTGCATGTGTTTGTGCCAACTAGATGTAGTCGGCTGATGGCGGGATTCAAATAAAAAGTTCCACTCTGACAGAAGAGCATTTGAATTTAAGTGCTCATTCTATGCTATATTATACTTATCATAACAAAGTTATTTTTTACGCTGAGACCGAATGTGTCCTACAATAGTTTATGAAATGCATACCACTTAATCTGAGGATTGGACGAATCAGTATAAACACTGATATGAACTCTACGTAGGATCTTAACCTAGTGCTCAAAATCCCAACCATCTCTCTATTCCGGAATCTGGTATCCTTGACGTGAAATATGTTACGGAAAAAGGCTTTGTCAAACTCTGAATATTCTTGACATTCTCGGCATTTTCATATGCTTTAGTAGAAGCTTGATTAAAAATGTCAACAGGAACAAGGGGTAAACAGCACTTCCAAAAAATTTTACTAGACATCAAATCTTATCAGTAAAGTAGATCGAATTTCACCTTTGAAATATGTCTAAAGACTCATATTTCATGGTTCGACCCTCTTGGATATCCCGTATATAATTATCCGTTTGCAATATCGTCAATGAAAAGTGGTTGTGGTATTCTTATTATCTGTTACTAAAGTAGTGAAATGCGACCGAGGCCCACTCACGAAGTGATGTATTTGATCCCAGTTTGATGATATGGATTCATACGGAATTTTTAGTGCCTCAAAATACAGAAACGTAATGTTTTCCAATCCGTTTCTGGAGGACAAGAATACGTTGAAGCATTTCTAAAGATGGGCCACAAAACACTCCACGGTTTTAGGCTGAGACCCTGACGAGAAAATATGGAAATAATGAAAATAATAATACGATAATCTATGAAAATAATGGATAAAATATATAGGAGACCCGGACATATGACGTTATAAACATACTTCATTAACCCTTGGCTTATTTAAGTTTTGATTTGTCACAATCTATATGAGGAATACCTCAATTTTTAAGTTAGTAGACTGGAGTCCAGGTATAATTTCTACTAGTAGTTAAGCTTTGGAAGTTCTTGCAGTCCGAAGTAATCAAAGCAATTTAGCCAGAGTTAGTTAAGAGAAAGTCTGATTTACTGTTATAAAGTTAGACTAATATCAGATATTCAAAGTTCAAAATTTTGCATTGCAAAACTAGCCAAATGTTTGTTCCTTATGATTGGTAAAATTTTTATATTCGTTTGTCATCATATTTCTGCGTCTATACATCGAGAAACTGGTGGTTCATTGCTAAAAAGCTCCCACAACCACCTGCATATTCTGGGCTATTAGAAGTCATTGAATTTAGTTGAAGACTGTTGAACTTTCATCAGCAAGGGGAGTCAACTAAAATTAGCTGGTTAATAAAAACTAATCGTGTAAATATTTTATGTGCGATGTTTGATGCTCGAACTTGACTTCGTTATTGCCCTGTCTATATTGGCAATTGTTTTCGTTGCTGGAGTTGGTATCGCGGTGTCCTCGAAATTACGCGTGCTCTGCATGTTGTAGTCTCAATACGTTCAGTCTGGGTAGTAGTGTTTTAGTTTGGCATTTTCTAACTATTTAACAGGTTCGAAGTAAATTTTACTGCATGCCTACAGGAAGTAGGCTGGTTATATACTCTACTTTTGCTATTACTCTGATTTATCTGCTCCACTGCTATCGAAAAAGGCGTAGGCATAAAGCAGCCTGCGGTAACAGCCTGGTTGAAGATATTGAACATCCTGTATCTTCATCACAATCAAACGGCAGCTGTAGGAAGTTTGCCGAAGAGTTGTTTGATACTCAAGTAGTGATAAATATAAGCTTACTGTTGTTAGAATTTTGTAGCAGACGTTACATACGTTAATCCACTTACTATTTGTGCAGCTGCTTTTGTCGAGGTACTGTCAAGGTTTTTTAATGTACAGCCCAAATTTTCTGACCGAAGTTTTTTAGCCTTAAGCGAACAGAATTTGGAATTGGAAAGTATTTCCCTCCTGGAGTCACCGTTGCCAATAGTGTTAAATTTTTCCAGCCAAGCACCAGCATTTTTATCAATGGCTGCCATTCAGCCGGTGGTTTCTACTCTAAGTAGTAGTCCTGTCTCCGGATCTGAATCTGATCGAGCACTAACACCCGACTCAAATGATGATTTTTGTAGAATTACTCTCCCACCTGAAGGTTTCAGCGACCCTTTAAATGACATTTATGAAGCTAACCCGGAAGAATTAGATGGAAAAATTTTGCCGAGAGTGCTTATTCCCAGTGATATGTGGGCTCAGGTGGTTGATAAAGATATTTGGCGTGAGACATTCCTAATACCCGCCTACATGGGTGGGGTTTTAATTGGGCGACTCGGAAAGTGAGTTTCATCTGTAATCATCATATTTTTCAGGAATGTTAGAGAGCTGCGCAATGTATGGGAGGCTGAATTCAGTTTAAATACTTGTCCAGGAAAACAAGACACTCTGATTCTCAAGCTGTCATGCCCGCTTAGACACAAAGATGAGGTTTTACGTTGGGTATCCCATAGGTTCAGAATGCGTCCTTCCAAGACAACAATTGGAAACCCAAACCAACTAAAGGTTAGTACTCTTCTAAAATATGGTGAAAAAATTTAGCGTCAACTTCCTCTAGGTGAACCGGTTCCTGTACAAATTCGTAGTCTTTACGGTTCGAAGGAATTTTTTGTAACAATACCTGACGAACAGTATAACAATTTTTTAGTTATGCAAACTGAGCTTGAAAAGGACTACTCGACCACCAACAATTATCGTATGCAACTTTGTGAGCCTGTGACATCAGGGACAGTTGCTGTAGTTCCACACAGTCAAGGATTCGCAAGAGCGCTCATAATTAGTGTATATCCTACTTGGCCGAAAGTAGCGTTCTATTACTTGCTGGATCATGGAACATTTGGTGTTGTACAATTAAATAAATTAAGAAAAATCAGGTTAGCTACTCAGATTGAAGTTACATAATAATTCTTTTATTATTGCTTTCTTGTAAAAGTGCCTAAACAGTTTTGTAAATTCTTTTTGCGCTTAATATTCATGGGATTCCACTCACTGCATCAACTGTTTTTCTAATGCCACATAGAGATATTTTCAACATAGCAGCTCTACAGAGTGCAAGAATTGTGCTTTATCAATCGTCTACGCCACTATATCAGTTCTAGCCACACCACGATTTTGGTTATTAGTACCTCTTATTAAGACCAATTTGTTCACCCGTTATTGTGTAGTTTTAATCAATTTGTCACGGTTTTCCTCTTTAAAATCTTATATCTTTTTAAGTTACTGTGTTACAAATGCTAGGAAAATGTTAATACTGAGCTTTTGCAATCCATTTGGTTTACTGAATAAATGTGTTATCAACCTCACACATGGGAATTTGAAAGTCCTTCTAAACTGCTTATTCAGAAAGCACATTTCGTCTATCGAATTAGGAATGACAATGTACTTTTCATTGGTAACGAAGTTTAATAGAGTCGATGATGAATTGATCGTTTGAATTCAGAAAAAAACTTGTGGCTTTTTAGCCAATGTTTCAGGTGGTTAAACTTTCTGCAGACAGTAAAATACTTGTTTCCTTTACGCAATTCTGTTTGGTAAGTGAATGATCTAGAATAGTCACGAGATTTTCGCTGACCAACAAAGTTGAACCATTTTTCATGATGGTAAATCGTGAGCTGAAAAGTTTGAGACTCGGACTAATTTATATACGTTAATTTCTACGTTGGTACTATTGCCTGTTCGTTTGATTTAAGTTATCAAATAGTATCGTAATCTGCAATAACTAAACGTTTTACTAAAAATTTTGTCAGTCTTGTGTTGACCTCTTGTTCTTGTGATTATTTTAGAGCATACGTGTTTGTCACAGTGATAAAAGCACCTGTTATCAAATCGTCCTGAAGTTAGTAATTTTGCATTTCATTCAGCTTCTTGTTAAGTAGTGATTACCTGATGTGTTTAACTGCCGTTTTGTTTATCATTGGTTTTTATGTTTAATCTTTTAATACTCTATCAAATGTTTTCTCCTTCAATATATTCGTTTCTGTCTGACAGTTTCGCATATTTGTCTACATATTTTGTAGGGCTAAATATATGAAAGTTCCTTTCCAAGCAATTCATGTTAGCTGGGCTCACGCATTCCCTGTCTACTCTGATATTCCTGATTTACACATACTTCGAACACTCTTTAATAGTGGTCGTGTTCATGCATTTGCTGTACGTATGGAGACTTGTTGCCGAGCTTCTGTGGCGTTCGGTGAACCATATTCACAGCCATACTCATCTCATGGATTTCTAGATATTCTAGTCAACGCGTGTAACAGTGGACTGTTCATAGCCGTTCCTCTGCTAGTTTATCCTAAACGACAGTCTTGGCTGAATGGTTCGTCGATTCCTTATTACCCGTTCACATATAGTTACATCGATTATCAATCACTAGTCACTTTCGCTATTGAGGATGATGAAGATCCAGTGGCTATAAATCATTTCCCTACTCAAAATCCGAGTGAAGATTACATTTGTCCACCGAAACATCAGAATGGAAATCAAAAAAGGTCCAATAAATCGTCTGATCATTACCGCACACAGCCTAATGGCCAGCGTCGTGGACCAAGAGGAGCTACAGCAACCAACAACACTGGGAATCGTAGACAAAATCCATTTGGACCCAATCGTTCTCAGAATAACCCACTCTTTACTTCTCAAAAAGAGAACCATTTTGCACCAGTTAAGGATAGTACTAGTGCATTAAAATCCACGACTAACGGAAACGAACAGTTTGTCAAGAGTCAATCTCGAAAGCCATTATCAAATCGTAATAATACTGTAAGTAGTTCAAGTAATATAAGGGCAGTCTCATCAAATCGCGGACGAGCAACTACATTAAGTGGACATGAATCATAGTCAAGTAAATTTGTATTATTTTATCTTGTTCCTGTTTTTCACAAAGCTTCTTGCAGAATTTCGTTTGGCATTTTTGTCGCTTTATATTTATTTTTAATCTGTGCCTTCCATCACCTATGTTTGTTTTTCTGACACATTTTTGTGGTTGCGCACATGTATTACTCGCTTCTCATTGTAATGGGATGTGGATTACCCTACTTATTTAGTTAATGTGATTTAAAATCAAAGTGTTCATATGTTCTCGTATATTTTTGTTGAGTTTCTATCATATTTACTTTCCAGTATAACTTTTTTCTGTTCATGCTATGTTTATTGCAACAATTGTTTTCAAAATGTTTTCCCTTGACAAATATATTGTTTATTGTTTAACCAAGACGAATAAAATTATCAAATTAATTCATTGTCATCTTTCTATGCAGATGAGTGACATTTCTTGTCATATGTTAGTTTTGCAATCCAAAAGTCGTTTGAAGTATGTGAAACCTGACCACCGTTAGGCGGTGTTACATGTCATTGAAGTGCGTTGTACGAGAGCTAAAGGATAACCAAAACAAAATCATAGCCTATCTTGGCTTTGTAGAGACAGACTCAGACCACCTCGTTTATTCCATGCATAAACTTGAAACCATCTGTTGAATACAAATCGACCTAATCGCTACCCAAATGTTTTCTGGCACTGATTGTACTCAGTCAACGCAACTTTTTGATGTGTCCCAGCATAATTCATGTCTAAAACCACCCGTGACCATGCAGACGTAAGGGAAACTGTGGGCCACCACAATTTCAGTCTAGTTGTCTATTGCTACGTCGTTTGATTATTGAATCACTCCGATTTCAAATGATTTCAGGAGTCTAATCCTGGTTACTGCGAAGTTTTTATGTAAAAGAGACTATGTCGTTTTTACCGGGCTACAGTCTGAAAACAACTTTACAAACTATTCACCCTAAACTATTTTGTTTTGTGACATTCTCTTTGTAGATATCTTTTAGTTTGTTACTAACCTACATATTTCCATCTTAACATAATTCATCGTAGTCAGGTATACATGTCACTATCACCATACCACATCGTTGATAAAATAGTAGGTACTTCAAAATAATAAAGCTTGAGTTGGTATTATTCTGACGACTTTGAACGACGGTTTGCCCTTTTTAAGATGCTGTCCGACTGAACGGGAAAGTAAAGGTTGGAAATATAGGGACAGTCGCCATTGCCTCTTCGTCGTATCTGCCTACGCTCCCACTGACTGCAGTTCACACGAGGTGAAACATGAGTTTTACAGAAAGCTTTCGGACCTCCAAAAAGTTTGGCGCTCTGATATAGTAATAATGGTTGGTGACTTTAATGCTCAAGTAGGTAGACTAGGTGAAAAAGAAAGACATCTGGGTGGATATTTTTGGTGTCGTGGCTCACAGAACAGATGGTTGCGACCGTCTGCTGTAGCTCTTCTCAGGTAACCGCCTATTTATAACAAACTAATTTTAGGCATAAGGAAAAACATCTTTTGACCTGGCGACCTCCAAAGTCGTCTCAACTCGACGCAACTAGATCACATCGCCATCAGCCACTGATGGAGGGGTTTAGTAGAGGACTGTCGCTCGTTGTGGGGCACATGTCTAGATTCAGACCATGCTCTAGGGCGAGCGCGTATTTGTATGCGTCTTACTGGACGTAGGAAAAATATCGCAAGAAAACCTCCTAGGACTCTACTTAATGATAATAAAGCTACGATTGTATTTCAGGAGCAACTAGAAAGGCAGGCGACAATGTAAGTGATTCCCACCCCCAGGAAGCTCGGAATGATATCCAAAAAGCTGTGGAAACAGCAGTGATATCGGCTGGCGAGGTAAACTTCGACGTTCGGGAGAAGCGGTGGATCTCAGTAGCATCCACCGAACTGATAGCTGCTCGAAAACTCATCCCATCTGGCTGTGGGCACTATGAGGAGCGGAGTCAGCTTAGGCGCAGACTGAAAGCCTACGCAGTGATCGTGAACAGTGGTGGGTAACGAAAGCGAGGGAGATGGGAAACGCAGCGGCGATAGGCAAAGTAGGCAACTATTCAGACTTACGAAGGAAACCAGCATTAAGAACCTCAATGTGAGTGAGACTATTTCGGAAAAGGATGGTCTTATTATTCATCCTCAATCCAGGATATTGGATCGATGGGCAAAACACTTCACGGATCAGTTCAATTGGCCTTCAGCCACATTTTGGTTGCCAACGATCTCCAGTCAACCTGAATAGCAAATCGACGTAAGTTGTCCTACTCTTTGTGAAGTTGGGAAACTTATAGGAAATCCGAAGAGAGGAAGAGCAGCATGGCCTGATAGGCTAACGCTTGAGATTTTTAAGGATGTTAGTCGTTTTAGCAGTTAGGTTGACTGAGATCTTAGATAGAATCTGGGAACTGGACTCAGAGAAATCAGTTTCACTAATATAGTGTCTAAAACATCAGCTTTAATAATACTAGCACTCGTGAAGAGCTGAGTCGAAAAAATCAGACTGGTTTCTGACCTGGACGTGGATGTATAGACCAGATATTGACTCTTCGTTCGCTCCTAGAACATAGGCACACATTACGGCACCACTGGTCGAATTAGAGCTTATGGCAAACCGTCGTCTAAATTGAATCCCTGGAGTCATATTCGTTAGAGTTGTCCACTTTCTCCATTCATATTGACATCCATATTGACAGGCTTTTAAAGATGACACTGTCATCATCTGACTGCTTAGGAATTAACCTACCAGGATACTTGTTTGTTGACTTGGAATATGCCGATGACATAGTTCTGTTTGGTGAAGACGCTAACAAAATGCAGTCTTCTGACCACCTTAAGCAGCAATGCAAGCATGTTTGGGATGCGGTTTTCTCCCTTCGAAATGCAAAATGCTGTTTCAAAATTGGTTTGCGTCCGGATAGGGAGTAAAGTGGTTGAGCGTATCAGTCGCCTCACTTATCTCGGAAGTCTCATCAGCGCTGATGGCCTGGTGACTGACGAAATATTGGCATGGATACAGAAGGCTTGATTGGCTTTTGCCGACCTGCGTCACTTATGGCGTATGCGAGATATCCGTTTGCTGACCAAAAGACGAGTCTACTGTGCAGTAGTTCGCTTCATCCTATTCTATGGCTGCGAAACACGTACAGTCGGAGTAGAAGATATTCGTACGTTACTGGTTTTCGATCATAGGTGTTTTCGAAACATTGTTCGTATATCCTGGGACCACCGAGTAAACAACCCTGGCGTTAAGTAAGGATGGCAGATGAAGTAGCGAAACCTCATCAGTTGAGATGGTTGGACGATCTGTTACAAATTTCCAACCACCGACTGCCTCGTCGAGTTGTTTTGCGGTGTAGAAATAGGTTGGACGAAAGCTACAGGCAGCCAGACCAAAACATGGCAGATATCCATGAAGGCACTGACAAGTAGACTGAACCATGTTGGTGGGTAGATGTTAGTAACCCACGGTTAGAGACCTTGAATGACATGTTTCAAAATCGTTTGCAATGGCGCACGTACATCGACTCATTTTCTTCATTCAAATTATATTCTGAATTCTTTATAGCCACTTTTTTTCTCTCTCTGTTTTTTGAACTCATTCCTCTAGGATGTACTCCTTGAATGATATTTTCGGTTACTAATCTTTTTAATTACCCTCAATGCTTCTACTACTTCTACTACTACTATGACATTTGCATTGAAAATTCGATCTCTGTGTGTTGCTGTAGTATGGAAACTTGAACTGGTGTGCGTACGTTCGAAGTTTCACGTTGTAGCTGACTGACTGACTATTGAACCAATCTATTGAATATCATAATTCTCTTAGGTGGCGGGGATCTAACTAGAGGGATTCTTAAGCTTTAGTTTTGTGCCGTTGATACTTATCACCAAAATTTTAAGGCAGTCAATAATCCTCATAGGTTTTGTCATAATCTGATTGATAAGAACTACCAGCTCCCTCAAGATTTCAGATAAATTTTATCAACAAGCGCCAGCTTGCATAAAACCTAGATAAAATAAAAAATCCATTTGGATCGCCTCCAGTTAACTAAAATATCAACAATGTGCACAGATTGTCGAGTCAACCATATTAGTGAACATAATTCAACTTGTTCATCGGAGTCTGATCACCCCTTTAAGGACTGGACGAACGGGGCATCGCTTATTACTCAGTAATCAATCTGTGTTTTTATACGACACAGTATTCCCAACCCCTCACTTACACAATTACTAGTTGTTCCCAGTGTTACTTAATTCTGCTAATTTGTTAATCTGTGTTTTCAACATAGTATGGTTTACAATTAATCTTAGATTTTCTAGCGAATAATACACAGGAAACACCATCTCATCATGAACAGTCATATTTTGCTTCGTGAGACATTATGAAAAACAATAAATAGAGATAAGCGATCTTGTATATACTTTAAATTGATTTATTCAGCATAGAAAGTACACATTTTGAAGAAGAAAAATGATTAGATATACATTGAGTATTCTGTGTGAAAAATATTCATTAACAGACATATATATATATATATATATATATATATATATATATATATATATATATATATATATATATAGTCGTTCATTTGTCTTCCGGTTTTATTCTACTTGATTGGTATTTATTAATAATATATTCACTATATGTGTATAGAACATTACCAATTTATACTTATTAAATTAATGTTACTGTACATAGTGTAATCCATTTGTTTTAGTTTATACCCTTATGCAATAGAATTCGAATGTATGTTTGTTTCACTCGATAAGTAATTATCATTTGATTTATTTTCATTTGATAATTTCATATCATGTAAAATCATTAATTTTTCTTGGGTAACAGCAACTTGTTTGAATGCACTTTGTTCTGTAGAATTTAAATGACGATTTGTTCTTATTGGTGAATGAATACCTAGACGAGGTTGCTGTTTAGATTGTTGTGTTGATTGTGATGATGGCGTCATTGGTGATTGTTGTGGTGTATTCTGAGAGTAGTTTGAAGATTGAGATTGTTCTGATAAATGTGTATTATGATTATTATTTTTATTACTGACTTTCAGCTCATTATATACTGTATTATTTTGTGAAGGAGATTGACGTTCACCATGATTATGATATGTATTATGATCTGCTACTGAATTATAATATGGATCTGAATTGATGGTTATAGTAAGAGGTTGGTTAAAGCTATTATTTTGGACATTTTCATTGTTGATATCTGTAGGATTAATAATTTGTTTATCATTTAATAACAATGATGGTGTTTCATTTAACGAAATGTGACTGGTTTTTTTATGGTAAGATGCATTTACTTCAGTTGATAATAATGGTTCTGTTATGTTATTTTGTGCATCGTCTATGTTCATTGTTTGACTAACTTCCTGAAATAAGTCAAATAAGTGCTTAAATAATCCTTTGACCATACAAATGGAAAACGATTGATTTACATATTGAAATAAGGAATAATTATGTCACGCTGATATGAATTTGAGATGGTGGAGAAAATTTATAGCTCAGGCGGATGATTGTGGTGGTGTTTCGTTTTCTGAGCTCAGAAAACGAAACACCACCACAATAATTATGTATATGTGATAGGATACCATAAAAGAGCTTTTAAGATGTTAATAATTGAAATTTTAGCCATCGTTTAGCAGTTTAAATTACGAACTGATAGACCACCATTAAAAAATAGGAACCACTGGAACTCTGGTTAGTTCTAGTATAAAACTCTAGCAGTGCGTATTAATGGCTCCATTCTACGAATTCGAACCCAGGACTTTCGGTTTCACACGCGAATACCTATTTTCTAGAATACTGAGCCGACGTTCAGCTGTTCACATTAAATTCACGATATTGTGCGACCACGTCCCATTCATTGCCTAGAGTGGATAACTGTCCCACAATCGATACTGCTAAACTTCACCTGTTACAACATTAATCAATATATTCTATAAAGTATTATTCAGAAATGAATTCGTTTTCCTGAAGACGATAATATAGTTCAAAATTGATCTGTGTAGAATTCTCATTTTGAATTTCGTTCTTATTACGGACTGGCAACTAACAGTTATAGGACTACTAAAAACTACAAACAAGACAGGTGTTTCGTTCCAGTTTGAAACACATCGTCAATGCATACATACAAAACACAGGATCCTTGGATTCTATTATAACTAAAAATTGCAGCCAAATATTTCCAATTTCAATTAATTGTAAGTATTTTATAGGTCTCATCCACGGTCATTGATTGATATCTATATTGTCCCAACAAGTCACGATTTGTCACTCAGAATAGGAATTCATGTTATAACTAAATGCTAGTTCCCAAGTAGGTATTATTAAAACAGAAAATTATTCATTTTGAAGTTCATCACTAAATTATTAGATTGGTTCGGGGTTAAGTGGTTTCTAAACACTCTCACGTTTCCAATCTTTTATCGAATCTTACCAATTTATGATAAACACTAGTTTAAGATGTGTTTCTGCACAAGAAATGAATCATTGGAAATGTATTCTCAACCTTTTTATACCCAACTTAATGTATATTATACGAATAACATACTGGTCGGCAGTCGTAATAATAGCCAATCTGATAAAATTTATCATGTCTCTTAAATTCTGAATTGCACACATATTTAAAAACTATTCATTCTTATTAAAAAAAATGATGAAGTGCTATTCACAGGACAGACGAAACCAGATGCTTTTGTTTCTGCAGAACACTTACAGATGGAATATGAATTGGAACACTTGTCATAACCCAAGTTTTAATACCATTTTGTTTCCAACTTCAGCCATAATTATCTTTTAAAGATAGATATCAACCAAAAATTATATTTCACATTGGTTAAGACCAATTCATCAGTAATACTGTAGTTTCAAATAAAAGATTAAAAGTGGATTTACTGAATATACTGTGTGATTTAACAAAAACCTATATTTGGAGACTTTAGGCGACCAAAGTCACAAATGATTTTCATTTGTGACTTTTATTTGTTTTCTGAATTCTCATCATAAATTTCTTCTTAACGCATGAATACTGAATCAAGAAATGTTGCTGCTTGTGTGTATCGACTAATTTTTTGTCTTCATGAAAGTGAGGTGAGGTTATGCTGGCAGATTTTTAATTTTAAACAATCCAATAATTTTAATCAATCCATCTTTTACAAGCTTGAGACTTTTCAACCAATTAACAAATTTCTGTATTAAAAAAAATTCAAATTGTTAATCAGAATAGATTGTAATTAAATGTTTGAAATAAGCTGATCCTCTATATTTTGATTTGAGATCCTCCTGGCTTATGTAACCTGCATAAAGGTGATAAAAATGACTTACAGCAACAATGAAAATAACTACTATGATTACTGAGAGAAGTTTTCATTTGACTTTAAGTTCTGTAAGCTACTCAACGCTTAACAGCGGAGGTCTGAGTTATTTAGTATTATGAATAGTCCCACAAATTCACAGTTTCTTGATTTCTGAGATTAATTCAGATCAATTGTTTAAATAAAATCAAAATGATAATATCTATACAACAATTTAGTAGAACAATTCAACACTTTTTCTAACTTACATTTACGTCTAGATTATTGATTTCAGAGTTACCATGTTCAACTGTTTGATTTCTCGGTGAATTTTGTTCATCTTGGTTGACACTGTTTGGTAAATTTCCTTTTTTAAATTTCCTTTCATCAAGTTGTTGATCAACACATTCACTGACTTTTTTATTGATCTGACTAGAATTCACATCGCTTTTCGACTCCATCTTTTGATCTGGTTGAATACAACTTTCTAAATTCGGTTTTTTTTGATCTTTCTGATCTGATACTAAATTTTTAGATCCATTCATTTGTTGTTGCAACTTGTTCATGCTCAATGTTTGTTTCAATTCAGTCCTACCGTGATTTTGTTGTTGTTGTTGCGGCTGTGGGTGCTGTGGCTGTTGCTGCTGTGGGTGTCGTTGTTGATGTTGCATTAATTGATATTGATGAAATTGTTGTAATTTATGCCTATTAAGCATTTGATTTTGTGCCAATATACGATAATAGGCTAGTAAGGAGGCATTTTGTTCAGTACCATTAAAATTAGTTGGTGATGATGAAATATTTACCTGTGTTGTTGGATTAATGAATGTTGAGTACGGTGCTCGTGCTCCATGTAGAGGATACATTTGTTGTTGTTGTTGCTGTTGCTGTTGTTGTTGTTGTTGATGATGATATGCATATAGATTCGGAATATTTTGTGCATCAACTGATCGATTTGGATTATAATTCTGATGATACCTTTCATCTAGTTTTGTCTGTGGAGTAACATTGAATTGAGTAGTAGTAGTGAAATTCCCATTTATTTGTTGATTATTTAAGCTCAATTGATTTCTATTGTTATGATTATTATTAACATCACCAGTATATTGTTGTTGATGTTGTGATATTGGGCTTGGAGTTGATATTTGTAAATTTGGATCGACAGTGTCAACACTAGCAGTTGGTGTAGCCTAATAGAAAGTTATTTTTTTAAATATATATTTCGAAAAAAATAATTATATATATATATATATATATATATATATATATATATATATATATATACATATATCATTCAGTCAGTCATACTCAACCCAGTACCTAACATACATTTCCTCTGTTTCAACTTCGGAAACCACATTAACTTTGAGAAATGAAATTATCAAGACCAAACCCCAGAGTGTTAGAAATGGTAACGCTATCAATAATAATAATAATAATAATAGTTGTTGTTGTTGTGGTAAAAAAGATTTAGTAAAGACAGTCTGATTCGCAAAGAAAACAAAATTTATAAATGAAAAAGAAATAATTTAAGGGAGGATAAAAACTTAACTCATCTGCTCCATTCCTGAAGCATGTCACCCAACCGCTAACCATTGTTTACGACTATCGAGTAGAAAAGAACTAGTTAGTCTTAATCTATCAAAACGGCTCATTGTAAAACTCAGTAACTTCATGAACTAAAATATCAGATCTTGGTCACTCTCATAGCTTTTATACTAGGTACGTTCATATCAGTCAGTATTTATATTTGAATTGCCTAAAAGCCGAAATGATACTGTATTACCAAACCTCTCTATTCTCAATTAGCCATTTATCATAACTCATTTTACCTGTTGATGTTTGTTGTTTCTACTCATTCTTCATTGTACCACCTATAACGGTTTTATACTGCTAATACGGTTGGAAGTAAAACATTTTGCGGTCAGTGGAAGTAGGGTTTTTGATAAAGCTTTGATTTCTCTTATGAAACAATTTCGTATTTGATACAATATCAGTTATCCACTTCAATCAGAATCTGTTCTCTTTTGTGGCAAAAATTCATACTAGTAAAGCTAAACATGCAATTTTACTAAATAGGTATATTGTACAATGTTTGGAAAATATTAATTCATCAACTAAGTAGTGACTAATGTTACGTCTATTTAGTCCTTTGTGCTAGTCGCATTTTATCGATTAATTTTACTGACTGGCCATTAGTTCAGGTGGCCCAACATAACATATATTCTAACTAGTCACCTAGCCCGAGACGTTACCCCTGAATAACTAAGTCTGCAACTGACTTCCCGTAGGGCTGAACTATTTACCTTCATTGATCACCGAGTAGTTTCCAAACTTAGATTAATGAAAGATATCAGAATTAGCTTCCATAATGTCTCATAAATAGTTTTTTATTTTGATCTCAGTTTCATTTGTCCATGGTTCGTTCAGTATTTTTTTTTGGCTTACATACAAAGTATGGTTCATCGTACAATTTTTTTTACAGTATTAACTATTGGCTTAAACTTTTCGCTGCACTTGCATATAATGTTTTTAAATTATGGAATTTTTATTATCATTACTATTATTATTATTGTTACTATTATTATTATTATTATTATTATTATTATTATTATTATTATTATTAGATGATCGACTATTTGGCTGGATTCCAGTATTTAAAGTTTATGAATGTATTGATAATTGCACATGATACAGGCTTCCTGCTTTAGTGTTACAAAATGTTTTATATTAAACATTTAAATTTATCAATTTACATTTTCAGACATTCGGAAATGCAGTCAAAGATTTATATTGATTCTAGTAATCTTTGCAAATGAATGTGAACACTGGTAGACTTTTAACGAATATTTAAAAGTTGTGACAAGAAAATAAAAGAATCGTAACGGTCGGTAGTCTTTTGTTAATAAATTAGAAACTAATACTTCATTTTTATGGAATCAAGGTCAAGTGTTATGCTTCTAAATGAATCACATATACTTTGTATGATAATAGTATTGTGAACAATGACCTTACGTATGTATATGATCTTGGGATTCTGTTAAGAAGTGACAAAATGAAAGTAAGCTTAACAACCAAAATCATAGATTACAAGTATAAATTTGAGTAATGTTTAAGTTCAGTATTAAAATTAATAAATCTGTTTCATAAGGTATATTTTACAATAAAAGTTATGAACGATTTATGTTTCTTAATCTAGTTTACTTAGAATCTTAATGATTCACATGCTTTTCGAGAAATTCAAATACATTTAGCTTTATACCACGTTCAAGAATGGTAACCTTTAGACATTTTATCCTTCAGCTGCAATACATCAAATACAGAGCATCGCTTAATCTAGTAATCACTCTTATTTGTTGAAATCTAACCACTATTCATGTATAGAACATTACTTTGAATATTCCCGTTGTATATTTAGATTACAGACTATTATCCCTTTAAACGGTAAGTTATGGTAACCTTAAATCTGCCCATTTAGTTTTGGACTAGTTAATATGCTTTTAAATAATGAAAGATATAATCTGATAATTTCCACAGAAAGACTAAGCTATTTAGAAATATATACATGTGTGTTATTTACCATTCAGAGATTTTCTTATAACACTGAGCGTTTATCGAAATAATATAGGCTTTAAATCCACAACAATTCGGTCTACTCTTAAAACAACATAAAGTGACACTCACCTGTCCAGTTGAAGCATTTCTCGGTGTAAATATACCGAATTTCATACTCTCTCCATCTTCATTTTCCATCCATGGCCTATTGATATTTCTAGTCGTCGGACCAGTTACTGATGCAGCTCTTGATGATGGTCTAGGCATAAGACAATAACCACCGACATTATTTAATGATGAAGCATGATTCATAGCTAGACCTAAATTCATATTTTCTACAACTGATGCAACTGCTGCAGCGGCAGCTACTTGAGCTGCAACTTGTAAATCTGTTTGACTTGGACTTACTAGACTAGAATAAGAAGTACCAGAAGCATTACTCCATTGTGAATAGTTCGCCGGGTATTTTGAAGGTAATTGTACAGACAAATGGGATCCATGGGGTTCTGGTTGACTAGATAGACTAATTCTTGAATGTTTTCTAATTCCTTGTAAAGAATGTTTATACTTGTTAATTTCACCGGCTATATTTAGATCGAAAAAATAGAAAATGAAAATAAATTTTTTTTTAAATGAATTAGATTCACAAGTATCGATATCAATTAATGAGAAAATACATGAGCAAGCCAAAAGTGGCTGTGAATAGGGAGAAACTGTGAATAATAAAATAGCAATAGATTAGGAATAAATCACACAACAGTAGTGAAAGAGTTGATGGAAAGATCATAATAAAAGGAATATATATATATAATCTAGTTCGTTAATTAGACTATACACAATAATAATCCATAAATCAGTCCTAAAAGTTACCATTCCTCTAATCTTCGTGATATAGCGAATGTGAAGTAGGTTTTTGCTGTCATTTAGCTAGTGTGATAGTGGATGGTATCAGATGACATAAAGGATAGGCTGTGATGAATGATCTACGTTTGTGGGTTCACTGAAGCAACGGAACCAGTACATAGATTCCCATATTAAATTTGCAGTTCACGTGGTGACTTTTCCCATAACGCAATACTTAATATCAATACCTTGTAAAGGTACACTGGGACTGATGCTTTGAGACATAGTTTCGCATTTGTTCCTTGAAATTCAAAACCATAAAGTAAGAAAATTATACCAGTATTGAAGTCTATCAAATATAGTAATTGGATGTAACTTGATTAACGTATAAATGTCTTTTTACTATTCGTGATCATACTTTGGGCATATATTTTAGTGACTAGTAGTCAAATCAAGGAAGGTCTCATCAGTCGAATAGCACTTCCATCCATTCAAAAACCTGATCAAAATATGATCATGATCATACTTTTAAAAACAATTACTGACTAAGATTTGAAACTGCCCTATAAAATTCAATAAGTTACCTTTACGTTTGTCGCGATTCTTTAAACATATACTACTATTGCTATTATTATTATTATTAATGTTATTATATTTCTTCCAACCACCAGTATTCTCTGAATTTATATTTGCCTCTTTGGATGCATTGATAAATCCATTATTGATTTCTTGATTCACTGAATAAAGTAGTGAATGTTGTGATCGATTACGTTCTTCATTATTTTGTGAACTTTGATCATTTGTGATTTGTGAGCTGGGTGAATAAATATCAGTGCTTCCACTGACTACAGATGCAGCTGCTCTAGCCGCAGCAGCATAAGCTTCAGCAAATATTCTACTATTGATTATATTCATACGTGTACTTTGACTACTAGCTACTGAATTACAACTATGTAATAGAGCAGCACATTCATTATCAATACTAACACCATCTATTCCACTATTTATGACGGAAGTTTGTAAAGAATTGAATTGATGAATTCCATTCAATGAATTATTATATCCATGTGAAGTGAAAGAATCACTTGGAGGTTGTTTGTATGGAGTTTCTAAAATGAAATTAAATTATAAAACATGTTCAAATGTTTTGTTCGGAGAATAACGAAAACTGGATTATTATTATTATTCTAAAGGCTATTATTTTTCTATCTGAATTATTGAAGAATGAACTCATTTATTCTTATCAATAATCATTTTTAATCCAACCAAATAATCAACGTGACAGGTCGCAAAACATTCAACAACACGTTATATGTTGTATAGATTCAATAAAGCTGAAAACCCAAACCATAAATACTCAACTCCACGGTTTAAAAATATTGTGTTCTCTAAGAAGAATGAAAATAATAGGTTTCATTCACTGTATGAACTCATTAATAGAGTTCATCATTCTAGGGAAAAGAAACTGTCTAGTCACCCTTTGATTTTCAAAGATCTCTCAGTTGACATTAGATTCCCTTTGTGAACTTATTGTTATCATTTTACATGCCTTTAAAGTGATAAATGTAAGTGACATCATTTATCATATTATTGGAAACTTGCATTTTTAATCATATTTATAAAAATTCTAGGTTGTGATAAAATAATAAGTGATCAAATTGAGAAATGTTTATCATCTGTAGGTATTTATTTCGTAATTATATTTAACATGCAATTAGCAAAGTTATGCAACAATCAGTAGTACTTTAAAATATAATTGATAGTTCCCTTTATTCATTGTGCCATTAATAGGTATTTTACCAGTTCTTTACGATTTTGATAAGTTCAATGACAATCATACACTTATTTGTATTTTGTAGTTCAAAAATAATTTGTACTGATTAGGAAATGAAAAATGTATGAAGTACTACGTTATATGGCGCTGCGAATCTGGAATCGGATGAAGAGTTTTTTTTTTTACATTGTTAAATAAAAATATTCCTTCAAAGATTAATTCATTCGTCAAATTTCAAAGTACCACAGTGAATTAATGTACAAATCACCTTAACGCCATCTTTATTTTAATTCACTGACATTTAAACAGGAAAGTAAAATTCATAAAATTACGTGAAATTATGATACCAATGAACAAAATCAATACGGATCAGATAGAGTGAGAGATATAATAATTCAGTTATTAAATTCGACCGAATGTTTAGTGGAGAAATTCAATAAGAAATATTAAAATGAGGTGAGTGCTAGGTAAATTGATCTGGTGTTCGGAAGATGAATGGTAATGTTAAACCAATAATAACAATAATCTATGTAGATAAAAATAACAAAGACGTCTATATCTGACTAAGAAAGATTATGCGTGTATTAATCGAACAAGTCACATTGATTTGTATATTATAATGCTTAAGCATTATAATCCACCAAGTCCTTGACCTTAACCCTTATATAAAATCATTTGATCATTTTCTTGCAGATGTAAATACATGATCTAGTTACGAAGGACATAACTAAATACACCAGTGGGTTTATGATCATTTCCAGGTTATTACGGAAAAAATAGAGAGGATTATTGATTAGTGAATAGGTAGCATTAAGTCACTAAGGTGAAGTACTTACACACCAGACGTGATTGTTTAGTTCATTCCTGGCAAATGTGAACAAAATATCTTTGAATACACGTAAAAGAAAATGTGTTTAACCTAACTAACATTAATATGGTCAGACCTGATTTTTGATTGATTTTTGCTTTACTGCTTTGTATTATTTAAACTTGGATTAATTTTATTTGTTCATTTATTCTATGAAGAAGGGGCTTACACAAATTCATGAAACGTCAGAAACAGTTTTAATTTTTCTACTCATTAGGATATTACAAATATTTTGTTTTTATCACTAACAATCCACCCAATGCTCAGTTTATTTGAAATTATCAGGTCAAACTTTGGTAATGATATCTACTGATTCATTAAATAGTTTATTGAAATTTGAAAATAGAGATCCTAGATGTAAGTCTCCGTGAAGACACTGACAAAATAAAGAGACATCGAGCTGACGAACCAAAAAACATGATGGAAATATATTATGGATCCTATTATTTTAACCTTCGAAATAAGTCCCGTAACAACGGAAGTTTATACTTGTCTTTATCAATTGAAATGCTATTAACCAGTTAAGGGTCCTACTAGAACATCAAAAAAAAAAACGAGCCACCTTCTATCTAATAATTGAGTGCATATGCTTCTGTATAATTATTTGATATAACCTATCTAAAATCTGAACTATTATAGATGTACAACACAACTGTGGCTGACTAAGGATTTGAATCTTCCTCACCTAATTCATCCAATAATTTTCTGCTTTCCAATGTGATTAGGTGATTTTCAGGTGAAGAGGAATTCCCAAGACAAATGCGCCTTATTAAAGAGTTCCTTATTTATTGATCTTTAACTTCGTTTTCTTCTAACACATATATATTATATGGATTATGTAAGTAGAGTTACAAGAAAAAATCCTGTTACAACTTAAAATGTACTGCTGATTTATTTTCTGTAGTTACCAACTAAATAAAGGAAATTACCACAGCAAACATTTTGATAGTTTCATCGATGAAGTCACTCTGATTCAAATGTATAACTTCCTATTTTGTTATCTATTTCTTGTTCTAAGTTAGTTACAGTTTGATTCACAAGGTTAAGGCATGGTAAAACTAGATTAGACTGACATAATTGAACCACTCTCAAAACGATCGTGAGAAATTTCCGTCCATTTTGTACAAACCAAAAGTGGGTGACGAAAAACAATAAGCGTTTACTAGAAACAATTACTGAATATAAGTAGAATCAAAATGTACACAATATTTCTACATAATTTATGAATATTTTAAGGTTATTGAAAATTTTTTTGCTAGTTATAGTGAAGAAAAGTGCAACCGAGGAATTTATCCTTATTGCTGGTTCTAATAAATATTTTATCAGTCCATGCAATTTCACATTTCTCAGAAACATTATTTTCTTTATCATGATATCCATTTAAATGTCTCTGTACTACTGATACCGCTGCATCACCATGGGTTCGCTTACATAAATGACGGAAATCACATTGTTTATTGTGGTGTGTGGCTAGCGAATAGTTATCTAAAATTTCCTTTTAGATGAGTGAAGAAGGAACCAAACCTTTTCATATTTCTTAAAGTAACATAAGTAGTATGGAAATATAACTTTGTCATATTTGTCTTAACGTTCTATTGAGCTAATTCTCTCATAATAATAATAATAATCACATAAAGTGATATTTCAGTATCATGTGATTTTCTGAACACATTGGAGATATATAAATTGGATTGTTCGTTGACTTTGATGAAAATATTTTTTAAAATTATTATCTTTCGGGTGGTATTATATTTCTTTTCAATGCAATTTCACAAATAGTATGTTTTGTTAATACGACACGAAACAATTGTTAGAGTATCATATACATCACACTGTGTTCACTAAATAACGTCTACAGTCTAATCTACTAAACTAAGACAATATCTATTTTACCTAGTAGTGACGTAGGTCTTTCAGAAAACTGATAGTTATAGCACTGAGGTTTACTACGGTTTCTTGGCTTGAATCCTGATAATTGAAAGCAACTAATCAAAAAAGAAAGTGAGTCGGTTGCGCAAGCGATACCATTTGTTATCTGTGAAAGATAATCAAATAAAAAGTACCCGCCAATTTTCAACACCATTGATCATGTTTATTTAGTCCTTTGTACTAGTCGAATTCTGTTGATTGAGTTACATCCGTTAACTTTATTATGTCTTTTTTTCTTCATTTTTAGATCAGCTTTTTAAAGTGTTTTTCTTTCTGATGAAAAAATTTACTTCGTTGAAAATTTGTGATCATATTTCAATACAATTGTTTATTTTTGTGTATTTCGTTTCAAACCTGAAGCAAGATTGAATGAACAGGTTTTGTAGCTGGTAAATGACATTTAGTTAAATAGTTTTGCATCAATGATTGAAGATTGTGCATAGTTATTATATATAAATGAAAAGTAACATATTATCTTTTTTTATAATTATAGAAGAATAGTATTAGTGAAATTGAAAGAAAGATATTGATTGATTTGATGAAATACAATAAGTGATACCTTTTTCAATCTAAGATTAAATAAACTTCATTAGATATTTTTAACGACTATAGTGCTTTTGTTTACTTGAATAATATTCTACATTACCACATGAAACAAAATAAGTAGTACTGAAGAATTATTACGACGAAGATAAACTATATATTATTCATTTACTAGTATTACACTAACCTGGTTGATATTTACGTACTGATCCAAGATCACTGTGAAGTTCAAAACCTAACTCAGATCCAATATGATTTGGAACGTCTAGATTTTTACTGGAGTGTTGAAAAGTCCTTGATTTCAAACTTCTGTAGATTGGAAAAAAGAGAAATAGAAGAATTAATTTTTTATTAGCTATGTTGAAAGCTTGATTCGCCCAGTCCTTATCGTTTCACGATGCCTTCATATTCAGCGTTGTTCATTCCAATCTTGGCGTTTAGGTTTTCCACATGAATGATCAGGTTACTTTGCTGGACGTTTCTTTACTCCAGCCTCTTATCGTCTTCGTTGCTATCGTTGGTTGGAGTACAGCAATATATATCACTTATTGTAATCCCCTTCTTAGTTATGTTGAAGAATAGCTTGATTATTTTGAATCCTTTAGATGCGCATCTTACAAGTACTTTCGGTGCTTCTTTGGAAAGGATCAAAGTAACTCCTTAAACGTGCGAGGCATTTCCTTCCTTATGACAGGAGTACAACAGCACTCTTCCTGAAGCTCACCTGTTCTGTTCAGCTTACGTTCAATGGGTTCCACTTTACCGAAACATATTTTCATCTCCACAGCTACTAAGATGATTCTCCCGGTCCCTTACAACGCGCAGATATTCCATGTACCTATGTTAGTCATTGCTGTGCCTGTCAGAAGGGGTATCGGCCTTGCGGTTTCCTTGAAGCATCATACTTCTGTTAAATGAAGACCCACCAACTCCCAGGGTAGAGTTTAAAAGGTTGAAATGTTTTTTTCTTAGCGTTTTTCTAGATGGTATTTTTCTACGAGATGGGGTCGCTCACCCCACTTCCAACTCCCCCCTATTATCTGAGGTTGCGACCATCAGTAACCCTAAAAGCGCTCCATTGCACATTGAATAACACGGTTTAAGGTTTACAAATTCAGCTGATCTTCAGTTTTCTATAAACATCACCTGATTTGAGAGGCGATGAGCTGTTTGTCATTTATTATTTTAGGTTTAGTAAATAAAGTAATACTTATTTTTGAATCATTTAAAAATATATTGCTTTTTATGCAATACTATAGGAACTAGTATTGCGTTAACTAATTTCATTTTATTATTATTTGATAAGAGTTGGTATTTCGAAAAATCGTTCATTTGCTTGTAACAAGAGATCTAAGTTTACTTTAGCAGTGTTGGTTTACTTTTTGATGAAGCAATAAAATAAATCTAGTTGGATAATCGTATTTAATAAAGTGTTCGTTTATGAATGATAAATATCTGTAATATTATATATATATATATATATATATATATATATATATATTACATGATAATTAATTTTTAGAAATGTTTCAACTAATTAGGTACTAATCACATTATAGAATGAAATATTAATAATTTGTAGTTTTACATTGAATATTAGCGCTAAATTGTGTTATATTGTTTTAATTCGACAAAGAAAGCCCTTCCAATTTGTCAACTTTTGTAAACAAAAGATAATAAAAAGGTGACCTGTGGTAAGGAAAAGAGATTAAATTTAACAAACTATATTCTTGCGTAACATTGTGGACGGCTGAAGCTTATGCAGTGTATGGTAGGTTTCGGTATAAACCTCACGGAATATTTGACTACATCTTGCAAATGACGTCAAACTGTAAACATATCTTAACTATTCAATTCATAGTAAATGCAATGACATGGAGTAATTTAAATACTGTAAATATATATATCTGTGTGACTGAAGAATATATATAGACTAACGAAATATGTTAGTCTTACTTTTATTATTACTTACTTTTTAATATTCCAAAATTTTAATGAAGCTGTAGGGCGGAAGAAACAATGAAAATAAATGGTTAGTGAATAAGTTAGAATTTTAATAAAGTTTCAGAAAGATGTCATTGATAATAGCAATTATTGCACATGTTTGTTAAATATCTTTTGTGCTGTAAATTAATTGGAGTATAAGATCGAATAAAACATTAGTTGTGACTGCACTGCAGACTATGCATTATTCATTATATAAATAAGTAATGAGACCTATGTATATTTGATGTTTTCAAAATGAAGTCAACCAAAATCATAATTCTATTTAACTTTGTCATACGAACAAATCTGTTGATAAGGCTTGTTCTAAGTATGTATCCACCGACGGATTAGTAAAAAACTTATTGTTACCGAAAAAGAGTACAAGTGATAGGAGGTTATCACACATTTATTGACTTTTGGTTGTGAATTGTGGAAGTGTACGTATTGTAAATTTTGTCCTTATCTGAGCCAATTGGATAGTTGTAGATTAGTACATATATATTTACGATTATTTAAAAATCAACACTGTTTCTGTTAGATTTCCATAATTAGCTTTGTCTTGTAATTTATAAAATGATACTTTCACTTCGATGCTACGTTTTAAGCTGCGAATCAAACTTCATCAGCTATGCTGACAGATGGGGAATCTTTTGACATTACATTTCTCGTTTATCAAAGAGAACTGTTTGAAATCATTTTGATAACTACTGATTATATGATTTACAGTTCAAATTACTAGCCTGTAGTCAATAAGTCTTTTCGAATCAGCTATACAATTGACATGACGTTGTTTCAGCTAGTAGAAATTGCTAATTTTTGTTCCTATTGACTAGTTTACAATGTAATTTAACAGTAAATTTTTACGGGACAGTGTAAATAAAGGTAACAAAAGTCTGTGTAAGCCCCTTTGCAATATATGAACATTTTACTGAAACTGGGTTTGACAAGTAGCCGTTGGACGCAATTAAATGTAAGGAAATGCAATAGACAACATCAAATTCAGTTTTATGGTTCAACATCTTTGGTGTTAGGAGCTTAAAGCAAATATGAAGCTTATTTTCCTCACGATTAGGTGCGTGTTAAGCTATTGAAACGTAATACTTGGTTTTTCAAAGGTAATTAAGATTGAAATCATGCTTTTGTTTTGAGTCTAACTGCGTCACCAATATGTATATGGTGTGCATGTTTGACGTAATTATCTAGTTTACATCTATCTAATTGTTTTTGCAATCGTTTTGTCGTTAGAATCTTAGCAATAATGTTCTCTAAATGTTATTTGTTTCTAATTCAAGATTAAAATAGTGTTTTGTTTAATGATTTTATGTTGGGGACGTTAAATCCCCAGAACTCGCTTGATAAATGCCTTATTTTGGACTTCACGTTTGCGAGCATGGGCTGATCGGTTAACCTTCAGATTTCGTTTCCAACCAGGAAAATCTTTGGCTGTGATTGGCTGCTGTGTATTTTAGTGTGCTATTTTTGTGACTGTCCCAAGGACGTTTTTGTGATGTATAAATAAACGAGAGTTGTGTGCTTGATTGTATTGTGCTTGCTGGGTTTTTGTAGAATATACTTTCTACACTTATCAAGACTTCTGTTTTGCCGTTTTCGGATCAAGGTATCCTACCTGGACGCTGGTTCATTGTCTCGTTGGCGTTTATCGACTAAGGTGAACCCGTAATAGCTTCAAGCGTACCTAGTGACAAACCTAACACTTTATAGTCACTCCTAGTCGTATTAAAAACAATTTCAAGTTAATAAAGAAAAGATCCTAAATTCAAAAAAACTCTAAGAAGTTTCTAAATGACCAAGTTATAAAAATGAATAGAGAAGGAGAAATAATATTATGTTTATTAGCTGACAACAATAGTTGCTTGACTAGTAATCTAACTACTTTATGATAAAATAATCTATAGCATTTTTATTATAAAAACGCTCACCACGTTTATTCCGACCATAACACGAATAGACTATAATTGTTGTGATAATAAATACAATTACCAGTGCACAACCACCACTCACTGCTAATGCTAACAAGGATTTACTGAGTACACCTCGCGTTTTAGATATTTCTAAAGAAAAACAAAAGAAAATAACACCATGACATTTGTTTGTAAATTAAAATTTCCAGAATGTCATTTGAAAATAAGGTTTTCAACTTTTGATAATCAATTGACATTAAATATCAAAAGTAGAGTTATTTAGTAATGATTCGACTAAAGAATTTTAGTTAGGATAGGTTCTTTTGGAGATATTGTGTTTTTGGGGGTAAAAGATTTGACTCTAAGCTAATATTATTCCTTCTGGAAAACATCAAGGACCATTAGACAAACCCAGTTCCTTCTCATAACCTTGTGTGTGATTAGTTGCCTTTGTAGGTTTTGTCATTTCTGACTATGTTTCTGTTGACTGCCTTATTCAGAAATTGAATAATTACATAATTGTGGAGAGATCTATTCTTTTGTAAAATCAAGTTTCTCTCTAAATTTAAATGTAATGAACAATGATTCTCTGTGGAACTTACATAAGTCTTAGTATAGGAACTTTTTGCACATCTGTATTAACCAATCATTTCACATTAGCAATGTTCCGTAAGTTATGATTCTTTTCTGTTTAAAGTTGGATTTCCAAATGAATATTCGTTTTAAGTGAATTCTAACTAGCTTATTGGTTATAATCATGTTGACAATCAACTCAGAAAATGTGACAGAGTAAAATGTTCACTATAAACAATTTGATTGTAACTTTTTATTCGCAAACTGCATCTTGAGAAATATTTACGGCTGACTAATTTTAAGTACTAATTTTTTTGATTTTGAAAAGTTAGAAATAACTGTCTACGTTCAGTTTATACTTTCTTAATTCTTTGATTACTAGTAATCAGGTCGAGCAACCATTTGTTCTGATCCTATTAACAAACTATACAATTAATGGGTTATGTGACACCTAGTAGTTAAAGTATGGTTGTTACAAAAGTTTTAAACCCCGAAACATTTTTCACTTCAGAATTAAAATATATACTGAGGAATTTATTTATGTCCTGTCGCATAAATCACCCTTACATTATGTTTTCTGTATTATATATTGATAGATTAATTACGTAATATAACATACCTGGTTGCCATAACACAGGAGATGTTTCTTGCAAAAGTTTTGTACCTTGAAATAAAAGAAATCGAAAATTATACAACTGAACTGCATCAGATAAATGTATTTCCATCTTTCCTAGCCAAGGTTTGGCAACATGATAATCTTCACAACCAATAGTTCTAGAATTAACAGAAATTTGTGAATCATCTAATCGATTTGTAATATCATTTTGTTTTGAAACATTTCCTAAGTCGATTGATACTTTTTGATGTAGAATATTCCGTTTGAAATGGTGCTTACTTACAGACTGCTTGTCAGTTTGTTTATGATTACCTAAGAAAGCATCACGTCGGCAAACTCGAAGGATAAGTTTCATAAGGGAAGATTTCAATGGAGGACTAAATAGAATGCTTGTAGTTGATCCATGATGAATGACTTCAATGGAATCTTCTGTTATAACTCCAGCTCCTAAACAGATGAGAAAGGAAAGATTTTGGATTCATTCTCAGAAGAATTAAAAAAAAATTTCATTGTTATTGAAAATTAACTGATCAATTTATATCACCTTACATATTTCTTAATTATAGTTGATGTCAAGTAAAGTACATTAGAGATATACTCTGATCAGTTATCATAGCCAGTTGAAATTTCTGTAGTCATGAAAACATGACTTTTCAGTCGAAACAAAGCAGCATATTGTCTATTAGATCAAAAATTATCGCAAAGAGACTAGGTAAATAGTTTTAGATTTGCTATGTAAAATGATAAGTACTACTTTTCAACCAATATAAATTAAGTTTTACCGCGCATGTAACTCATAATACTAACAAATTTGTGTAAGAGATTACATTCTTCAGTTGTGATTAGTAAAACTAGCGACAAGAGTCCCACGTGCTGAATAAAAAATTTTGGGTGATCTATGAAACTGATATTTGGTGCAATCTGAGTATCAATGTAAATCTATCCTGGTAACCTTTTCACATCGATTAGTCAAAAATGTGGAAATTTGTGCAGCTTAGCATTTACATTTTCGTTTATCAGTATTTTTAGTTACAGCTTGTCTTGTACTGCTTTGAAGAGTATCGTTACACTGTTTGTTTACCCAATCTTTACCGTTACCTTTTTATTGATTCTCGTTAGTTCGTCTCTTGAAAACAAAATGATCGGATATTGAGTACTTCATTTAACTGTGCATATTTCTTTTCGGTTAAGTATTCGATCAAATTACATGCTGTTACGTTGTTTGTGGCATATTTACCTAGCTTTATTACGTTAAAGAGCAGTTAACATGCCTTTATATCTGCTACCTTGTACGGCTTAAATAAGGCAATAAACTTGAAAAATTACACTTTCATAAATCTGATTGGTGAGACATTTTCTGAAAACGACCATCGAACTTTTGACCGGATTTTTCTAATCATGGTCACGATTAGACAGAAAACTAAAACGTGTTAAAGGAAGTTAGTGAAGTAATATAAATTTATACTGAACGATACATTATAAACATCACATTTACCTGTTTTCTTTAATAAATGAAATGTGAATTCTTTTACACCTAATTGATGACGAACTTGACAAACGTATGTACCGAAATCAACAGATTTAACTTCTGTGAACCTGAGAAAAAATGTAAGGTTACCATTAAGACCAGTACCCCTGGAAGCGAAAATGTTTTTTCTTTGCCCAATAGATTGACGTGAATTTTGTTCTTCAGACAAATCTGACGTTGACAAATGCGACTGAAATCGATTCAATGCTCTTCGTTTAAAACGAGGCCACGAATCGTACGATTGTAGATAACCATAATTTATTTGTTGCGGTTCAAAATAAGCCTGAGGTTCAACATATTGCTGAGAATTGTGGATTTTTCCAGCTCCATTCTTATAGGTGTCTATCTGAAACCACTCAGCTTCTGCCCAAGGTGGATTAGCATCTACATATAGAGCTAAAGTTACAGATTCACCTATATGAGCCATAACGTGAGTTTGTGTACGTCTGTTCATTACAGGTTGATCTGAAAGGTTTGTATCAAACATATGAAAATTGAAAATGCATCTATAATCATCTCGGGAAAAGAATCAATATTGGTCAAGTTGTAACAAATAAGAAATTTAACTATCAGTGATAATCAGGAATGCAGTTAGTTAGTGAACGGTGAGTTGGAGAAAAAATGAAATTCAGGGAAACGAGAAGAAGATTATGGTAAATGAAAAATAAACGTAGAACCTTTTTAGCGTGCTCAGTCTGATAATGTTCTACTACAGACCTATAGTAGAATCTAGGATTTTATTACAAAGGCTATGGTGAACATCTAGGTCCACTATAAATGCTTGTGTGGAATCATTTTGATTGAAATATAAATTCAGTCACGTATCTTATTTTAAATGGTTTGAAATGAATTCAAAGGAATCTCCTTAACTTCTTCTATATATATTTAAGTGTTGAGAATTTGAAAGAGAAACGCTAAATATATAGACTTTGTAGTTCAATAGATTTTTCTTTTCTCATTCCACATTTTTCTGTCACATGATACAATAGGAAATTTAATCTATGGCTAACGTTTTATTGGAGGATATACTCTTTTAGAACACTATTCGGTGTCTGTATGAACTAATAGCATGCATTGACTTGCCCATTCCTAGCTCATTTCATTGTTTTATTGTTAGTCAGATGTAAATGTGTGGGATACGTAGTGGTCGGACAAAAATAACATGTTTTCCAATCACCCAAGCCTTAGCATTGAAATCACTCTCTTTACCTAATACCATAATCGTTCAGTATTAACAATACTTTGAAGACACGTATGATTAGATACTCTTAGCCTGTTTGTGTCTCCTAATTTCATAGTCCGAGTGTCGCAGATTGCCGAGCAATGTATTCGTCCTTTAGTTATATAATGGACATCGCATTTGCGTCACCGGTAGTGCAGGTAAGGTAAAACTAAGTGACTATTCTATATCTTTGATGAAACTTATTTTATGCGAGGCTACCAGGAGCTACGAGGCTTTCAAGATTAGTGAAGTGGTCAACTTGTCTCACTTCTTTCTTCAAACTACTGTCAAACTAACGACTGATCCAAACCGGTGTGAAGGAACATTTTACATTTAGACAAACAAAAACGCGTTTGAAACATGCTTGAGAATACCGGAAAGCATGCGTGTATGAATACTGAGGTTGGTGCAAGTTATTTTTTCACAGCATTTAATCATGAAACGTTAGAAATACAAATTTCTACTCATCGGGATATCACTCCAAAAGTTATAATTATTTTATTCTGATTACAGATTCATACCGTTACTTTCTTATATTAGTTTATTTGTAAAGCATACATTGTCATTCTAAAAAGCATTTTCAAGATCTACTTATTCAGAACATCAATTAAAGGCTTCGTTATCACACCATTCAGTAAAGAAATTTTAACTCTACCAAAGTTGTTCATCTAAACTACAAATCCTAATTATCATTTCAAAAATAGATGTACATAGTATCATTTCACACAAGCTAAACCATTCGATACTCATTTGAAAAAAAACCCACAGTTTCAAGATGATGCCAAAGAAGTAGTATTTGGAGTTTACTTCGTTGACCTCTTCATCATAATGTAAAATACATTCATGAATAAATATGTGGAATGCACATGCACACAACATTAGATTAATTCATGTCCTAATAAGAAAAAAACAATTTCAGTTTGTTTGTATAATATCATGAGAATTGTTGTTGTTGTTGTTTAGAAATGTATACAGTTTAATTTCTTTTGAGTAAATAAACTTAATAGATTCACATTGTGTTTTGTGTGAAATCTTGATTAATTGGTTAGCAAATGCTTAATTAGATTAATTTCAGCTAAAACAATGAACTTGAACAATTAGAAAAAGTAAAGTTTATATTATTATAAACAGATGATCGATGTTTGTGTTATTGAAGTGAATTCAATTAAATTTTGTCAAAAAAATCATACCCTGTCTAAATTATCGAACTTTGAGATAATTAATAACAAATGTGTTCACTTTTTTTGAAGAAGAAGGAAACTTACAGTACAAATCAAGATGATATAATGCATGGGAACTTCCACCGATTCCAGATACTTCACAACCATACCAACCAGCTTGTGATAATTTAATATTGGTTAAATTTAATTGTGAATCATGATATCCACTTAATTGAATCATACTGCCAAATTCTGGCCTTTGTGTTAGATGTGAAGCAGATAGAAAGTGATTTTTTAAACTGGACAAATTTAATGAATCCTCTGTGTCTTCGTCGTATGATTCATCATTTAATAATTGATTTTCATCATCTTGTTTTTTTAATAGGCTAGAAAATTGTGTTGATTTAGCTACAAACCATGCATAAATCAAATCATTTGAAGGATTTCCTCCAATTGCTTGACAGAATAATGTAACAGATTGTCTTGCAATTGGTTGATTAGGTAGGCTGATGATATGAATTGATGGAGGATCTTGGGAAAAGTAATAGGTAGTATGTTGTAAATGAATTAATGAACTATGTGTATTATAGATGCTTAAAAATCTTATGTAAAGTATGATTTTAAGTCAATTTGAACATTTCAATTCAAGAGTTTAATTCAAAGGTAAGATGATCGTGAAGACTATCATATTAAAATTAAATATATTACAAGAATCGCCAAATCTGAGCAACCAAAGATATGGTACTTCTTCAATAGAGCTTTCCACTTTTAATAAGAAATTACCAGATGGTCAGCTAATTAATTTCAAACGAATATCATTTATGCTATGTGCTGATTTTACGGATGGTTGTCATCCGATATTATGGGATAAGAAATCATTGGGTTACATTGTGACAATGAAACCGTAAAGTCAGTTCAAACTAACAAAAAAAGTTCTCTAGAAATATATAATAATTTAAAATAAATATAATTTTAAACATGACTTACATAAGATTTGTAATCTATGCTCACTCAGAACAGGTTTATTCATTCCTGTATGATTAACCAGACACTGATAAATTGTATTTTGATGAGATCGATAAGTTTTGGTGATCACTAACGTGCTTAAAACTTTAGTCCCGCCGAAATCTCCTTGATTCTGTTAAAGTGGATTAAAATGTAAATTATCTTTAGTTTCTTAAAGCAGTCACAGAATATAATACCAATAAAAATGATAATTTTTGGGTCTTATAACCGGTCAGCACATAATGATTACAAAATGGATGTAACCATAAACTTCAAATTAATTAAACAAAACAACGAAATCACCCCCCCCCCTTACTTTTCACTGATTCACGTTAAAATTTTTAATTACAAATTTTGTAACATTAGACTATTTACATTTAATGAGATACATTAGGATACAATACATTCATGCAATTTTGAAAACCTTGTTATTTTTACTCCATTTACAATTAATAATAGCAATACTCTTTGTATATCGACTGAAAGAAGTCAACTTACACAATAAAAGAGATTCAGTATTCTGATAAAAAGTTTATAATATACAGTTTATATAATCATCAATGATTGACTGAAGTGCAACTATAATTCATAAATTCATTTTCTTAGCTACGTTTTCTTTCTTTCTCTATGGAATTATATTTCTTACTTGTCCGATAGGTAAAAAAATCTTAAATAAGCATTAGTTTCATGTATTTGTTTGATTGGTAACTTTGTAGCTGTATTCCTAAGAATTATATCAAATGATATCTCTAGTCTATAAGTTTATTGAGAATTGACAACAAATAGTAGTTCTTTTAAAAAAATGAAATTTTTCTTTCAGTACAAATCATAAAACTTTTTTGATAGCGTGAAACATATTCAGAGGAATACGTTCTTCTTATTTCAATAATTCTAACATACTAAATTTAGAAATTTCATCAGATTAGAAAAAAAAGATAACTTTCATCATTGAAGATGATTGGTTCATTGATTTATCTTGTTCAAAAAAAACCTTTTACATTTAAAAATCAGGACAGTTAATTGATGATGTTCAAAAGACGCGCTACATCTTGTTAAGTATTAAGGTCAATATTTTTAAAACTCTTGTAATTTAATATCAGTAATTTCTTTCAAAAAACTCACGTTTTTTGTTAAAACTGTAATATACTCATTATTATTATTACTGTTATTAGATAAAACAATTGAAGCAGTGCATAATATATATGAATACGAGGCAAACAAGAAGTGAATATGTGTACTAATTAAATAGTGTATATATTTTCTAATTAATCATTGATCAATGAAATTAGATGGTGTAGTGGCCATTTGAATTCTACCGGAACAATTCAGTTTTTAAGTCTGCATGATTAAAATCTTGTTTAACACCAACTTATTTGATTTAATTATTTACTAAATTGATATGAAACTCATAGTTGTATATAATTTGATTTAATAGACAAAGAAAAATTACAAAGCAACTTTACTTAGTGAAATGCTTGTTCTATCACTAACATAATGAATAAAAACAAAACGTTAAGAAGTTTGATAAAAATGAGCGATAAATTGATTTTCTTTTTCATTGTAGTATAGAGAGTCGATTATGCTATCGAATGAACAAGTGATTGATGTAAAAATATGAAAGATAAGAAACATTTTGTCAATATATATACATATCTATTTATTTCTAAAGGGAGATGATTCACTGACATTGTGAATTACGTTTGAAAATTAAGAAGAATAATTTTATTGTACTAGTTAATGAATGATGAAAACAGGAGTGAATATAATAAATAATAAGGGATACTGATTGTCAATATTTTTTACAAGTGAATACATTTGGTTTAATTTTGTTTTTTTTTTCCGATTAAAAGTATTTCATTGCGGGTTCTATGGTTAAATGTTTTTTCTCAAAACTTTTATTCAACAGATAATAATTAATTGAATATGCGTACATTGAAACTCTTAGCTTTTTTAAAAAAAAATATATCTGTACACTTTAATTAATAATTTGTTAGATACTTACAGTTTCTAATTGGGCAAGATCAGTTAATTCACTTGAAAATAAATTAATTGGTTGAAAATTCTCTTCGATATTTCTATGCTTCTCTTGTATCTTATCGGGTGGAATTTCAAGCCAACGTATCACAGCAGGTGGATGACATGAACTAGTAGCACATGTCAATTCTAACCGACCAGCTTCTGGAACACCATTTATTGGTTGAGCTGTTAATCGTATGTTATTCGGAGAAACTGATCCGTTTTTTTTGTTTTTAATGATAAAAAAAGAAGAAACAGAAATAACAAGGCTACAAATGCACAGGGTTTTACAAATGTAATTACGGCAAATTTAATCATGAAAATGGTAATTATTGTTGTTGGTGATTATAAAAAACCCGACATAGATGCCTTTAGATTTCGATAAATAAAAAGAATAACGTTAAAAAGCTTCTCTAGATACAGATAGTGTACTACTTTTATCTTGTTATTTGTCTAAAGTAACTTTCCAACAGTATTTTTTCTAATTAGTCAAACAGTCTATGAGTGTATACATATCGGTCGTTTGATCTAAGTGATTTATGGGAAGCAATAGATACTTTTCAACTTTCTTAACTAACTAACATTGACAAGTTATTTTTATCTGAGAGGTGAATAAATCTCTTCATCCTAATATTTAGATTACATTTTCAACTCACTATTTCTCTTGGTTCCCTAGAAAAGTACAGAATGGTCAGAAATGAAATGAAGTAAGTTTTAAAAGGCTTAAGAACTTTAAAGATAATTAGATTATCATACTTTTTTAAGTGAGTAGTGATAGTATCTAGTAAGATTATTAATAAGCGAGTAGGTTAATAATATTTTTACAACAGCCTTGTTTAACCCCTACTATGTATATCTTGTCGTTTTCTTTTAATCAGAGATGCATCCATACAAATACAGGACTATTTTAGATGAAATTAAGCCAACGTGTGAAAAAACAGTTTGCCTGATGACTAGGCAAGTGTTGACTGGTATTCCAGGTCACATGTTCACATATACATGATTTAATGTAGAAAAATTGGTGTAATAATTTTACTGCTGATATTGTATTTTTATAATGCAGCTCGGTCACTGTATGTAGTTATGTAAAGCGGAAAAGTGTGTATTGAGGAGTTTATACACATTCATTTGTGTTAGAAAAACGAATTATTTATATTTTTGTCCAGAACGATAATAGTATTATCTTCTGTTGAATATTATTGAATATTTAAAAATATTTAAAGAAACTAAAGTTTTATCCAGCATAGTGGAAATTTCTCTACCAATCACACTATTAGAGGTTTGATCTTGTGCATAGTCATGAAATTTATTCTCAAGATAATTCACATAAGGGTTCGAAATATAACATCACACAACTTACACATAACCTCTAGAAACCCTTCTGATCGAAGAAGTATTTTTGAATCATTGAATACAACAGAACATTCAAATCGTCTTCCATTCAATGCTCTAGTTGCAAGAATTGTTAGATTAGAACGAGTTACAATAGCACCACTACTTTGCGTGATGAAGTCCACATCCACGGACATTTTCAAAGTTTCCAATGAAATAACAGCACCGGCAGAATCAAGCTGCTGCCATTTCAGTATAGCTGGAGGATTGCTTCCCATACTATCTGTTTGACAACTGAACATTTTCTGACTTGACTCAGCAACCAAACCTTCGGGAAATGATTGTACGTAAACGGCCCGGGGCGGGACTAAAAATGTTTGAATAAATTGTATCTTAATTAGCAGTGTTACTTATTAGTAGTTTAAAAGATAATTACAAAATAGTTCTCAAAATTTTGAAAGTGTAGCCAAGTGCAGTCGACCTATAAAATATTATATATATGCCTGATTTTTCTGGAATGACCTGATCAAAGACACACTTGTAAATGTGAAAGGAAACTCCAACTGTTCTCTATATAACATTTAAGCGAGACTGTGAACAAAAATTTCCAGTGTGTTTACAACAGTGATGATAGACTTTTACGAATTTTGCATTACCAGATACATTTCTCAGATAGTTTTATAGATCATGTAGATGTGATCAACTGCAACCGTACATTTCTGGCATTCTTTAACCAACGAAGTTTTGAATAGGAAAATAAAATGAAATAGTGAACGTAACAACTGAACCTATCATCTGTATGATCAAACATTTATTAAGGTCTATCAAGTTTTGTAGCCCATTGACTGCTGATATAAAAATTAACGACCAAATAAAAGCTTGTTAAGTCTCTTATTAATAAATGGGTAGATAAGTATGCAAAAATAGGTCATCTATTGGTTTTTCTGGTGTAAAGCTTCGTTTTTTAGTGCTTTCTAAGACATTTGGCTTCGAGATGTTGATGTCAGCTGAAATTGATAATGGAAGGTGTAGTTAATTTGAATGCAAACAGTAAAATGTTTTGTTTAAAACACTCAAAGTATGAAACAATACTTTCGAATCGTATCAAAATATATCTAAAATATGCACTATCTTCACACATTTATCTGCGAGTCATGAACAGCTAGTGTAAAGGCATTACATTAAACCCAAACAATTTATGACTTCCTTTTTTATAAAATATTAATATTGATTACTTTCAGTTCACTATTTATCAAGGTTAATAATGACTGTATTTTTAATAAGAGAATCAATTTTCATCTAATAAATGAGTATCTCTAATTAAATTTAATGTAAAGCTTTATCAGTTGTACACAAATTTACGTCCAAATAATATTGAATTAACAAGTTGTTAGTAAAGTAATAGTTTTCTTCGTAAAATCCAATTTTTCAGGGAAATTCGAAAATTCACTTTTATTGTAATAAAACTTAACAAGACAATAAATTTATAAGTGTTTACATTTTAAACAGTAAAATGACAACTTTTTTAAATCTTATTACATTACTTGAATAATTGAAAACAAGGAAGAATCATATAGCTAACGATCGTCATTTTCAACTAATAACTATCATAATGTTAAACAAATATAGACGTACAGACAATTAATCATAACAAATCTGAAGTCACAGAAAAAAAACTGATAACTTGTCGTGTGCTTTACTAATATATTTAGTACTTTTCTTTAAAAAACCAAAGTCATTCATGATGTTAGAGAATAAACAAACAAACAAACAAACAATTTATTCAAATTGAACATTGAGTTTTAGTTGATGTAAATTTAAGCAATAACAAAACTCAGTGGGATATAGATAGGTTGGAAAAAAAAATACTTTACACAATTATTGTACATTGAATTGTGTTTGCTTTGCAACAAATAATCCACTATTCAGATATTTGATGCCATATTTATATTTAGGAAAGAAAAATATAAATAAAACCCACAATTTGTGCTTAAATCTTTTACAATATGTATGATCATTCATTTTGAATGAATAAACAAGTTTCTAGCGCCTCAACTTATCTTTCTTGGAGTTGGTTTTTTTTCAGTTGGGTGGTAGATAAATATTAACACAGTTAAAAGTTAATTAAAAGCAATTATTTATTTTGATGATTAATAATATCTCATCTGGTTGGCGCCAAGAAACATGGGTTATATATATATATATATAAATATATATTTGTATATATATATATATATAAATGTAAAAGCCCACAATCTTATGAAAACGAAGTGTATAAAAAGTAGTTTATAACGTTTTTTTTCTGACTTGAAGACTAGATGGAACTATAAAGGATGTGTGCTTTATGACTTCTTTCATTGGATCCTACATATTTTATATTGAGCATAAGCCATTTTCTCTTTTCATTCCAAAGTGATAATGATGCAATTATTCAACAACAACAACAAATAATAATTTATTCACGTAATGAATATTTACCCGATCATTTATATCATATATAAAAATGTTTTATTTCCTTAAACTTACTAGATCATTTTACAAGCCCCGTTCTGGTTTATTTTATTATGTAAAATGTAATCTCAAGTAAAATTAACACATTTGATACGTTTTGTCTGTTTTTATTTTCATTACTGAATGGAATGATTACACATGAATAAACAATCAAAGGGGAGTCAAACGGAGAATAAAAACTAAACTATTCAAGCATAATAATCTACACATAGAACTGGGTGTTGGAATGCGAAATAGCAAAAAGCAAACAATTGAATCTTTTTTTATTTTCATGATTAAATGCATTTTTTTTTATTATTTTGGTTATTAACAAAATAAAAGAAAAAGAAAAAGAAAAGAAAAGAGAACAGCCAAGAAGCTTGGTATTTGAATGATCTATTGGGTAATTAGTAACTGGTTTTTGTTTGTGCAATCAAACAAGAAAATGTATTATATCATAAAGGTATGCTGCGTTAATTAAGAATTACATAAACCTAGTGTCGGTGGTTTGATTATCCCTTATTCTCATTTAAGACATATGATGATAATGAAGATAACAGTAAATTTTGTTTCATTATATTCTTTTCATGAAGAAGTAGAATCTTTTTTTTTCATATATAAATAATGCGTTTAAGCACCATTAATTATTGTTGATAATATCAACGGGTAAATGAATGATTCGAGGAATGCGTAAAAGTGTTTTAAAGTTTGTTGAAAAAAACTAATATTTACAGCAAAAAATTTTTTGTTATTGATAGTTTTGTATAATGGACTTGATTTGCTAGATAGCCATTGATAATTAGAAAATATCAGATAACTAGCTCATCCTAGTATGGGACTAGTTATTAGTGAGCACTTATAAGCCTGTCACTACCGAAGCCATCATCCAGAAGATACAAATGTTTAAAAACAGTTGTCTACGAAAAGTACTTCGGATTCGTTGACCAGACACCATCAGCAACAACATACTGTGGGGGAGAACAAACCAGATTTCAGTGGAGGAGGAAATATTACATGCTTGTCCTCTCGAAATCAAGATCTAGGTAAGAGATAATAAACAAGACAGGTGAACGGACGAAGCTATCATGCATACTGGGTAGGATCTTAACTTACGTATCCATGTCTAGCTCTCAGGGACAGATGTACAGATATTTACCAATAATTTCTGTGCACTTTTTCGCCTCATCAATTAAAATTTTGAAATGGTTCTTAGTCTTTTTATCCGTTTGACAGTTTGAGGATGATGAGCTTAGGAAGTGTATATGTATCTGTATCTAGATCGAACAACCGAAGGACGTGCTAGCTTATGCTTGTACAAAAACTATTATGTACACGTTAAATTAACTTTTTTCTAATCAAAAAACTACAACAAACAGATGACTCATTTAACATTAAGTCTTACACGGTTGTGTATCATCACAATAATGTTCTAGATTAATTTCCTAATCTATGTCTTCACCAACTAGTTTTTCTACAATTAATGGATGTTTGTTTAATTATCATGAACTAGTGAATAACACAAGAATCAATGGATGAACAAAAATGAGAAAATAATGGAAAATTAATTGCCTGATTACTTCGTACAACAATAAACATAATTTAACATCTAATTAACACAAGTATAAGTAGCGGCAAAATTATACCGACTAGATCAAAAAAGTATGCATTAAGTAGGTTTCGATTAAGACATCAGTATTACAGAAATCAATAAAAAAGTGATCATGTTTTCGCGAAATGAGTGAAATACAAATTAAAAGAAACTGTAGGCATAATCGTTAGACGTTGGAAATAAACATTTAACAAAGAAACCAAGTAAAAATTACCAGAGAGAAAATTTTCAATAGTTCTTTAACAATAACAATTATTTTAGAGAGTTATCAGCATACGGAAATATCAAATGAAAATGTTTTGCTTATTATTATAATCATGTGCTTATTGCATAAAATTTACAGCTATCACACCTAATTTACTAACTAATCACACACATATCAATGAAATAAATAGACTGATTAATTTATCTCATGCTAGAGAAAAAGGAGAAATAGTAAAGTAATTTCACTAATGGTAGTAAGATTCATGTTACGTATTTCATCTTACTTTTGGGGAATTTTTCAGGTGGATGTACATTTTAAACATACTAAGAACAATGCAATATTTGATATTTTATAGAATCACAAGGTTGCAACACACCTGTCTGAGACAATCGATGTACGTGTTGTTTTATTATAATGGTACATTCTATGACATATACAACATGATCATGGAGAAAGAAGATAAGTATATTCATGCATCAAACTGTTAAAGAAAATCAATCTTCTTCGACTTAATTAGAGAAATTTTTGAATATTTTGACTTCATTATTAAACAGTAAGTAGAATGTTGATTAAGGTGAGAGAAAAAAACTTGATAAACTAGCATTCTACATCTGACAGTAGATGATAGAATAGTCACACACACACACACCATCTAGTTAACTATCAGTTATGTCTTGAATAGTTTTTTTTAAATATAAAAATTATTTTCAAAATGATTAAATCATTTTGTATTTGGTTATTTGATGCAATCTTTGTAAGAATCAAATCAAATCAGACAACATATTTTATGTTTCAGTTAATTGTTCAATATTATTATTATTATGGTTACATCGTTAATGTTGATATACTTGAAAGTGTACTACTACTACACAAATTAGACACTTACCAATCACTAACCCCATTAAGTAAAACCACACACAAACACATCATTATCCAATTAGATAGAAAAAAAAAATAAAAGAATAGAAGTTACAAAATATATATTAGACATTTGGTAGAAATGATTGACATTTACTAATTTATAGAAAAATTAAAAAAAAGCGTTACTATTACAGTCTAATTT